TCCTTCTATTTATTTGCCCATCCATCCATCCATCCATCCATCCATCCATCCATCCATCCATCCTTCTATTTACTCATCCATCCATCCATCCATCCATCCATTCTTCTGTCCATCCATCCATCCATTTATCCATCCATCCATCCGTCCATCCATCCATCCGTCCATCCATCCATCCATCCATCCATCCATCCATCCATCCTTCCTTCCTTCCCAACCCCAGCACTACCTCACTAGCTCCCTTCTCCCTCCTCTGTCATACTCAGTTTCACCATCACAGACAAGAAGCAGAAATGAGAAAATCCAAGAGTCCCAAGGGTCCCAGCCAAGGTCCAAAGGGATGACTGAGACCACAGGCAGTCTCAAAGAGCTGGGCACCCCCGGGGAGTTTTCAGGGATGGGCTTCTCTTGGAATCTGGGTCCAGGGATCCAGCACATCTTCCTTAGGGAAGTTCTCACGTACGGTCTTTAGAAATCCACCCACTGCATAAACAGACTGGGAGAGGCTGGATGGAGGGAGGGAGCCCTGAAGGTGACAGAGCCCAGGCCACCAGCTGTGGGTGCAGTCCAGGGCCAGAGGCCCCGTCTCTGCATCTGGGAGGTGGCAACAGCTCAGATCTGTCACCACCTGCCATTGCCCCATAACGGGCTGAGTCCTTTGCCTGCCACAGGGGTGCTGTTCATTTGAACATGCACCCCAGAGAACATAATGTAAGATCCCAAATGCCACTTTCAGTCTCTCTGAGTGCAGTGAGATGACACAGGGCTACTTCTCCAAACTGCCCATATTCACTTGCGGAGATAGGTCTGCCTCAAAGTCATCCTCACTCCTCCACGATGCCAACCCCTAAATGCCCACAGCTCTGCTGGGCAGGGCGAGGAGGAGAAGAAGGGTATGGGTGTTTGCTCAATCTGCAGTCACAGTCCTGGCCCTGGGAGCTCACAGGCAGCAGAGGCAGCATCTGTCCTGCTCAGCTGTGTCCCTCACCCACCCAGCTTTAAACATCTGTGGGCTGACAAATGCCCATCAATCAAAGAGTGGATAAAGAAATTGTGGTATATCTACACCATGGAATACTACTCAGCCATAAAAAGGAATGAAATAATGGCATTTGCAGCAACCTGGATGGAATTGGAGACCATTATTCTAAGTGAAGTAACTCAGGAATGGAAAACCAAATACTCTATTTCTCACTTATAAGTGGGAGCTAAGCTATGAGGATGCAAAGGCATAAGAATGATACAATGGACTTTGGGGACTCAGGGGAAAGGGTGGCAGGGGGTGAGGGATAAAAGACTACCAATTGGATTTGGTGTCTATTGCTCGGGTAATGGGTGCATCAAAATCTCACAAATCACCACTAAAGAACTTACTCATGTAACCAAATACCACCTGTTCTCCCAAAACCTATGGAAATAAAACATTAAAAAATAAATTTTAAAAAAATGTGTGGGCTGAATGCAGCTGACAGACAATGCCCTCTGCCACCAGGCCAGTGGGCAGGCTCCGCTATTCTGGGCCATGCAGGAGACAAGTCCCCACCCGCGTGGAGGCGTGCCCTACACTGATGCAAAAGCGCCACCTTCTGCGTCCCACACGGGCACCCTCCTCACTCGAGTCTTTCATTTGACTTTCTAATTTGGGGAGTGTGGAAGCTCATGATGCCTTTTTAAAAATAAAAATAGAACAGTCACAAGTACTTTTTAAAAGACCAAATGGAATTTTAATTTTTGGCCTCAGTTTCGCCTCGAAGTCACTGACCTGGCCTCTCCCAGCCCCTCCGGTGGCCCCTGCCTCTTTGTGGCTCCTGAGGCATTTGGTTACATGCGTAAGTTCTTTAGTGGTGATTTCTGAGATTTTGGTGCACTCATCACCCAAACAGGCCGAGCCTAGCTTGCTCCTGCCTCAGAACTTTGCACGTGCCATTCTCTTGGACTGAGCACACCTCAGACCTAGCACTGTAAAGCTCGTACCCTAAGTGTATGTGGGTTTCTGTTAACCATCACCTCCCTGTCCACCTGCCTAAAGCTCACTTCTCACCCAGCTTCTGGCCTTAAGGGCACTTCTCCATCCACCTGCTGCTGCCGCACATATTTCAGCTGGTGGCTGTGTCTCTTCCGCTAGGATGCCAGTTCATGAGGGCAGGGACCGTCAGCATCTTGTTCACTGCTGTGTCCTCTAAGGCCCCAAACAGAGCGCGACACACAGTAGGTGCTCAGTAAGTTCTGGGGGGACCGAGGCCTGACTCCCAGCTCTTCGACTGGCTTGGGAGTGTTTGGGAACGTTCCCACCTTTGCTCCAACAGTGAGCACGAAAAGCCCCTGGTGAGTGGGGACCGGGTTCATTCATATCCAGCCTGGCCCCCAAGGCCTTTGATGTCTTGGGGATTGATCTTGCAGCCAGCCGCTTCCCAGATACCCTGCCTCAGTGGGTGGGGAGCATCCAGGAGGCAAGTCCAGCTTATTCAAACAAAGTGGGGGGCCTCTTTAATGAAGTGAAGCGTAGGCAGGTTTAACATGCATGTCCGTCCAACCTCCTAAAGTAGGTGACAAGGTGGTGAGGACCTCAGTGGCTTAGATTTGGGGGCAGGACTGCAGTCTACCCCAGCAGCTGAGGCGTAGGCCACCAACTTTCATCAGAAAGCTGGTGTCGGTCACTGGATACTGGAACAAAGACACCCACCCTGCCAAACGCAGTCTGAACCTGAGGCCCACACGGAAACCCAGCACCGCTCACCCCAGCCTCTTCCTCGGGTGTTGGAAAGCATCAGCTGCGTGAGGCGCATCAAAGGTTCCGCCTCTTTGTCCTGAGACAATATGGGGTGCCGATATGTGCACCTAAAAAGCACTCTCCCCGAGTCGTCAGCGAGTACTCAGCAAAGTTCAGCAGGAGTTAACGGGGAGGTGGGGTGCCCTGCGGGATGGGTGTGGGGTGGTTGGGCATGGCCACAGCGGCAAGCCCCAAAGCTGAGAAGAGGGGGCGCCAGGCAATCCTTTCTCCCTTTTATTAAAAGCAGCCCTTCAAACCCAGTTTGAACACAGGCATTTTGTTTTCCAAAAAAAAAAAAAAAAAAAAAAATCACAGGTAGTTAATTAGTTGCACAGTGAAAAGGGGAATAATATGAGGTTGAAGGGCAGACTCTGCAGCCAGGCCCAGCACAGCCGCTTCCTGGCTGGGCAACTTTGGGCAGGTTGCTAACCTCCTCTGTGCCTTGGCTTCCACCTCTGGAAAACGGGGCTAATTGGAGTGTAGGCTTCATGGGAATATAGTGAAAATTAAATGAATTGATGTAAATAAAGAACTTAGGACAGTTGTCCTGGCACACGGTGTGAGCTATCTAAATGCCAAGTATCATTATCCATGAGGAAACAGCCCCGGGCTTTGCTTTTAAGCCAAATTAAAAGATCAGGGCAACACAGTTCCATACCTGGCATCCAGTGAGCAGGAAGGGGAAAAAATAAAGTCAAGTAGAACAGCCAAGACAAGTAAGCCAGCCATGCTATTCCTGCGGCAGCCACGGGCTGGCCCTGATGGCAGAGAACGCTTCCAGAAAACCCTCTGTAAGGAGGCTTCTGGGTCACGGAAGGAACTAAGGAGAAGGCGGTTTCCCCGTCCTTTTTCTCCAAGCCCCACTGTGCAAGGCACCACGGGGATTCAGTCCCAACCTGTGCAGCCCAAATGTGTGACAGTGCCAAATCCCAGACGCTCTGGCAGGAAAGCTGGTCCCCTTTCGACAGCAAGATCAGGTTCACTGCAAACAGCCCTGGTCACCTCTATCAACTCCTGGAAGTCCTCACTGCCCCTTCCACCCGCCAGGCTCCCATAAAGAGACCAAAGTTCAAATTCGCTGCATGATTTGGTCTAAGATAGTGACTCCTAGACTTGGCTGAACGGTACAATCACCCAGGGACACAGACTCTCCTGATGCCCAGTTGCACCCACTATCAGTTCAGTGAGACTATCTGGGCGGTGAGTGTGGGTAGGTTCTAAAGATTCTCCAAGTGATTCCAATTGGCGGCCAAGTTTGGGACCCACCAGGAGAAGAAACAAGCAAGGTACGCATGAAGGTCATGTCCTGAGGCTTGAGGTGGGGAGCCACTCCTTTCTGCTGTGGGGAGGAGGATTTTCAGCTGAGGGGAGGCCTTTTTTGCCCTGTGAGTGCCAGGCAAGTATCCCTGGGGCCCCAGGAAAGGGGAGTGGAGCCTGCACACACGCCCCAGCAGAAAAGCTGTTAAGGTGGGCAGGGCGCAGCCAGAGAGCGGGCAGGGACGGGCAATCACTCATTTCAACTTGTCATTTCCTCAAGCTGCAAAGGCGCCCGCTGGGCCCACATGCTTCCCCGCCTGCCAGGGGGGCGCCCAGTCTCAGGCCAGGCGCCAAGCTGGGTCCCCACCGGAGTCCACCCCCAGGCTGGGCTTAGTCTGGCAGAAGACAAACTCCTGAGTTTCCTGACCCGGGGTTCCAGCCTCCCCCTCCCGCCTAAGCTCCACGTCAACATGCCTTAACATCCCGGGAAGGAAGGGATCCTGTCTGGATTTGGTTATTTAAAAAAAGAAAGAAAGAAAAGGCTTTCACGTTGGCAGCGCCTGGACAGTAAACAGGGCACCCGGAGCAGCAGAGGGGCCGGGTCCAGATGTCTGCAACATGCCGGGCCTCTGGGTGCAAGCCCACCTAGCCAGCAGCCAACTTCTTTGGGAATTTCGGACCGTCCTTTACCCCGCCCCATGAGCCCCCCATTATTACTGACAATAGGAAGAATCACTCTGGAGGGAGGCCTACCGCCAGGGAGCAGTCTCCAGGTTCAGGGGTCAGCCTGGACCTCCTCCCGCTACACACCCTGGTCCCCACCTGAGAAGCGTGGCTGTCACTGGCCACCTTCGTGGCTGCGGGGCAGGGAGAGGAGGAGGTCCGTCCTGCTTCTACAGTAGCGTGCGTCTCGAGGGGCAACCCTCACTCACCCGCCCGCGCGGTCCCCCATTTGGGAGCGAGAGCGCCTCCTTACCGCTCTTGCCTCGCTGGGTCCCGGGGGCTCCGAGGAGGCGCCGGCGCCCCCCGCGCGCGCGTCGAGGATACCAGGCGCCAGGGAGTAGAAGGGTGGGCTGGGGCTGGGGCTAGGGGGCAGCCCGGAGTCGGGGCTGTCCAGCAAGCCCTCCCGGCCCTGCTCCTTCAGGCTGTCCTCCATGCCCTGGAGATGCAGGTGGCCCACCATGTCTGGGGGGCGCGGGGCGCGGGCCCCCCGCTCCTCCGGGGGCTTCTCCACCGCGCTCCGGGGCACGGGGCAGGCGGCGGCGGGGGGACGGCTGCGCGCCCGGGAACCTGCGGGCACCACGAGAGGCGGCGATCAGGCCCGGCGACCCCTGCGCCCCCGATCCCCGCGGGCCTGCAGCCTGCTCCCCGCCGCGGGCCGCGCTCCTGCCAGCGCCGCCGCCCTCGGCCCTCCGCGGCGCCCGCCCGCCGGGCCCGGCCTCGCCTCCGCGCTGCGCTGCGCTGCGCTCCCGCAGGCCGGCCCAGCCCCGAGGCGCACGTCGCCGCCCGGCCCTCTCCGCACCTCCCCGGCCCGCGCCTCTTTTTCTAGGCGCCTCCTCCTCCCCCTTCCTCTCCCCGCCCCGGCCTGCGCGGTGGGCAACCGCCCCGGGCCGGCGCCTCTGCCGAGGCCCTCCCGCTCCAGGGGACTGCGCGCCCAGCCAGCAGCCGGAGTCCCACGAGGCGCGTGTGTCCCCCACTCCCGAAACAAGCACCATACTCGCGCACCGAGGGTGCCTTGTGGGGTCCCCAAGTTATCCCAAGAAATACGAGTAATAATCATCATCATCCTATTTCGTGGTGCTCTTGGAGGTTTTCTGTCTCATTTGAAGTCCCAATAAAAGCAGCTTGAGAAACTTTATTTTAGAGAAGTTTTCTTTTTCTCTGTAACTTACAATCGATGGGGAGGAGTGCCACCACTGCCCTAGTACTGGCGTCTCCGCTACCCGCACAACCAGGGCCAGCTCTTTGGGCCTTGAGGGTGGAAAGCATTGGGTGGAACTTGTGGGTGGGGGGGGCGGCGGCGATGAGAAGCACTTCCGGGAATCCCCAGGCATCCGGCTGCTCCTGCATTTTTCTGGGCAGGTCCTTGCTCATGAACAAGGGTCCTGCTCGTCTTTCCCTTCTTTTCCTTCCTCCCAAGAGAGAAGAACACGTGTTTCCTTTCCTTACTGTTTTCTTATCAGATGCCTGGCAAGGCGTCTCCGCATTTCCAGCGCCCAGCGACACAGACACCCCCCGCCTCACTCCTGAGGATCCATCCTTCCATTCTGCAAGCGGGGCAGCTGGGGGTGTCCACGGACTGCTTTGAAAAGCAGGAATGTGGGAGAGGCTAATAGGGCGAAGAGAGCAGAGGGAGACTCCAGGAAGCGTGAAAGTGTGCACAGCACACTCATTTCCATTCTGCTTCGAGCAGAAAGCCCAAGATCAGGGGCGGGAAGCCGGGTGTCAGAATCCGCTCTTTGGACACCCCCAAACTGTGGGCAGCACTTTGAAGATGTTCTCAGGCTCCCATTCTGTACCCAGCCTTGGCCGGACCTCAGAACGGGCACGCGTAAGACAGCAGGCCCCTGGCCTGTGGAGGGCCCAGTCTGATGAGGGAGGCTGTCAACGTACCAGGAAGCTAAGGCTGTGAGTCTAAGGGAAGGAACTTAACGAGGTGCTGCAACCAAGAATAGCCAAAGGGACAACTTAAGGCTTGGGGTGTTCAGGGAAGGCTTCGTGGAGGAGGCGATTTTTAAAGCTAAGATCTGAATAGCCAAGCAGTGAGAATTAGCCCACCATATGGAGGGAACAGCAGGGCGCAGGCCCTGCAGCAGCAGGAGTAAGGTGTATGCCAGACACTGACAGAGGGTGGGGCCGCTTCCTGAGAGTCCAGAGGGTGACAGGCATGCACCTGTCACCAGGTGAATTTACAGTCCATTTCCATATCTCCCAGGAAAGAACGCTGGAAGTCTGCTGCCCAAACAGAACTAACCAGAGGTTTGAATATCTGGAACATTCTGGAAAAAAACAAAATAGGACAACAAAATAGGATTCCATTTGCTTCAATTCTTAGGCAAGACAGGCCTTCTTCAGCCCTTGGGCCACTTGACCAGAATGAGTGACTGAACTGCTGTCACTGACTAGGATGAAAGTGGTGGGGAGAGGGGGTGTTCTTTCTGGAACACAGACACATGGAAACTCACATTTCCCAAATGCCCACCCAGCCAGCCCCAGTAGTCTTCTGCTTCCCTGGAGAAAGTCTTTGGCAAGAACGAATTTCTTCTTATCTCAGGGACTAATGACCCCTTGGCCACAATAGCTACCAAGGGCAGGGCAGAATGCGGGCAAGGTAGAGTTTCAAAATTTCAGGGTTCCTCTGTCTTTATTTAAAATGCTGATATTTTGAGGCCTGGTGTGGCGGCTTACGCCTGTAATCCCAGCACTTTGGGAGGCTGAGGCGGGTGGATCACCTGAGGTCAGGAGTTTAAGACCAGCCTGGCCAAAATGGTGAAACTCTGTCTCTACTAAAAATAACAAAAAATTAGCCAGGCATGGTGGCAGGCGCCTGTAATCCCAGCTACTCAGGAAGCTAAGGCAGGAGAATTGCTTGGACTCAGGAGGTGGAGGTTGCAGTGAGCTGAGGTCATGCCATTGCACTCCAGCCTGTGCAACAGAGCAAGACTCTGTCTCAAAATAAAATAAAATGTTGATGTTTTGTTCCTCTTGAACTGTTTGCATCCATTTTGACTTTTAAAACGTTGCAGCAAAATATCATTTGTGGTGATTTCTGTGTTTGGGGGATGTCCTGAAATTCTCTTGCCCCACTCTACTAATCCTGTCCTCCTTGTGCCATTCATCTTGATCTAGAAGCCCACTTATCACGAGTGCCTTCATGACTATGCCCATCTGGGTTCTGGAAGTTTCCCCTGAAACAGGCTGCCCTATGTGGTAAATGGTTGGAGATGTGTGCACGCCAGACGCCAGGCAGAACATGAGTGCATTACAAATGTCAGACCCCCAGAGAGCAGCCCACACTGATGGCCCCAGTGACCGTGACCTCTGACCTATTTGGATCCTGCTGCGGGCTGGGGACCGCCCCTCAATTGAAAGCCAGTACTGTGGAAGCTTCTATTTCTCATAGCACCAGATGGTCTGCAAATGTCAAAGACAGGAGGAAAGGCCGAAATTTCCATAAATTCATTGGAGCCAGGGGCTAGGCAGTGGGCAGGGCAGGAGTCTCTTGCGGCCAGTCTCAGGAGGAAAAGGGGCTTGAGCCCCTGAAATGGGAAGTTTGAGGAGCAGAAAAGGGGGTCTTTCAAGATCGGAGTAGCTGCTCTAGGCCCAGTGCTGGAGGAAAGGGCAGAGGGAAGGAGGTGCCAGGTCTATGGAGGCCCTTATGCCGTGCCAGGGGATTGGGGCTTTATCTGCCAGGGATGGGAGAATCTGCAGAGGTTTTGAAGCAGGTAAAGAATGATCTGATCCAAATCGCTTCCAAAGTTCCTCACATGTACACATATATACACATAAACAAAGCTGGATTAAAGAGTGGAGAGTTTGGAGGCAGAGAGAAATTGGGCAGAGAAAGTGGATATTTAATAGAAAAGAGGTATTGGGGTATCTCTGACAAGGGGTTGTAAAGAGTGGGTCCCGTGTTGGAGAGAAGGGGAGAAGGGGAGAAGGGAAGACCCCTTCACCGCACACCCCTGGGAAGGAAGACCTTCCTCCACAAGCTTCTGAAGTCACTGGCTTTTAAAAGCACATGTTGAAGAAGAAAGAAAAGTGACCTGGGATAACCCCAAGCCCCAGCCCAGGGCCCCCCAAGCACTCCCATATCAGGGGGATTTTCCCAGGCTGCTTTGTGTGGGGGAAGCTCAACTTTGCAAGGAAGGCCAGAGGGAAGGGCATCGAGAAAAGAAGACTTTTTCATGGAGCGCCATTAGCCACTTGTTCCAAGCAGCATTGAAGGAAGGCTCCTAGAAGCAGGGCTGCGCATTCCTGGGCCACTTACAGAGCTCTGCACACGCACCATCGTGCACTTGAACCCTGGCTGCATATTATTTCCATTTTAAAATAAAGCAGGCCAGGAATGGGGGCTCGCGCCTGTAATCCCAGCACTTTGGGAGGCCAAGGTGCGTGGATCAGCTGAGGTCAGGAGTTTGAGACCAGCCTGGCCAACATGGTGAAACTCCGTCTCTACCAAAAGTACAAAAATTAGCCAGGTGTGGTGGTGCACACCTGTAATCCCAGCTACACAGGAGGCTGAGGCAGGAGAATCCCTTGAACCTGGGAGGCGGAGGCTGCAGTGAGCCAAGATCATGCCACTGCACTCCAGCCTGGGCAATAGAGTGAGACTCCAACTCAAAAAAATAAATTAATAAAATAAAAGATAAATAATAGATAAATAAAGCAGATGGAGTCATGGAGACTCAGAGAGGTTAAGTGACTGCCTGAGGTCACACAGCCTACCCTAAGTAGAAAGCCACACTGGAGGCTGCTAGGGTGGACATAGGGGAGGCTGCCAGTGGGTCCCAATGGATCGTGACATGGCGGCAGGAGGACGGAGGTTGTCATGCCTGACAACAACAAGGCCTTTCTGTAACCTGCAGAGAGAGCCCTGAAACAAGGCCATCTGAGAGCACTGGAGGCCGCTCGCCTTCCAAGGAGACGCCCAGACAAGGAAGGGGTCTTCTTGTCATGTGCACACTCGGTTGTCTGGGTTTGAATCCTGGCCCTACCAGGTCCCGGCTATGTGATCTGGGCAATTGGCCTGCCCTTTCTATGCCTCAGTGTTCCCATCCATAAAGCAGGATGATAATAAAGCTAGTGAATGGGGATTAAATATAAGCATATTAAGGGTATGCTGCCAGGTGCACTAGGCACAAGCTGAGCCCTCGGCATGGTGCCAGGGAAATTTCCTCAGGCTCAGCTGGGCCCTGCTCTAATCACTGCACTTCATGCCTTGCTGTGTGAAATCACCAGGATAATCAATACATTTAGATACACACACACACTTCTACATGCACATAAACACATATGCACATATACATACACACATACACACACAACCACACATATGCACACACACATATACATGTACACACATAAACACATATATACACATAAACACACAAATATACACACATACACATGGATGCATACACAATACACATGCGTACACAAGCACACATATACACACAAATA